CAGATCGGTGGGATTTCCACTTTAGTGTAAATCCAGCTGTGCTAAAACTACAAATCCCAACATGCCTGTGGCTGTCAGTCTTGCAATGCCTCATAGGACTTGTAGTTCCGCAACAGCTGGTGTTCTGAGGATGCCTACCCCTGTTATAGTGACTACTCCCAAAAGTCAATGCCCAACTCTGGATTGGACCCCCCAGAATTTTTTCCCCCTTTTACAATATATATATATTTCCCTCTTCTATGTGTCTTCTGGTAGGTCACATGACCTGCAAGGTCTGCCTCCTTCTCTTCTAGATGTCTTCTGGGCAGTCACATGACCTGCAAGGTCTGCCTCCTTCTCTTCTAGATGTCTTCTGGCAGGTCACATGACCTGCAAGGTCTGCTTCCTTCTCTTCTAGATGTCTTCTGGCAGGTCACATGACTGGCAAGGTCTGCTTCCTTCTCTTCTAGATGTCTTCTGGGCAGTCACATGACCTGCAAGGTCTGCTTCCTTCTCTTCTAGATGTCTTCTGGCAGGTCACATGACTGGCAAGGTCTGCTTCCTTCTCTTCTAGATGTCTTCTGGGCAGTCACATGACAGGCAAGGTCTGCTTCCTTCTCTTCTAGATGTCTTCTGGGCAGTCACATGACCTGCAAGGTCTGCTTCCTTCTCTTCTAGATGTCTTCTGGGCAGTCACATGACCTGCAAGGTCAGCTTCCCAAGCACTGGATGTGCAGACCATCAGTGCCAATCCCTGCATGCAAGTGTGGCCTGACACATGGCGGCGGATCGGCAGTTCGCAGGTATTCAGACGGCGATACCGTCCGCTTTGTTTTTTAGCACCCCAATGGGGATCTTACATTGAAATTCTGCACTACCTGAGTGTGCCGAGTGGTCGGCGTGAGGTCATGGCGCAGTCCCTGTGACTTTAAATATGCACATTTGTCATGCCGAGTTAAAATGGTTGCCTCTCAGCCATGTGGATGGTCCTGAGGGGACTCCATGTCAGTATGTAGGACGATGGCTGGCTCAACCGCCTATTTATACCACCCATGTGACCATAACCTAAGGGCCACTGCAGCGACACCCCCTCAGGTCCACAATGCCCTGCACAACCTCAGGCCTGGTTCACACCTGTACCTTTTGTAGCGCGTTCAACGCTCAAACATGAAAATCCCATTGTTTTCTATGGATATGGTTCACACCTTGCCGTATTTCAGCCTGTCTGAACGCACTACAAAACGGCCTACGCCTGAAAAGGTACATGAGCTTCTTTGCAGCGGTTTTATCGCGTGTTTCCATTGGGATACAGCCAAGTAGCCCTCGGAAACGCACGTTTTTTTTTTACCGCGGTAGAAACGCGCATATTCGATACACCTAGGTGTGAACAGAGCCTCAGATTGGACGCTGGGCATCATTCCCTCTGGAAGGCTGAGGACACCTAGTGGCAGAAATCAATTACTGCAGCAGATGGAGGAGAGATTTATCAATACTCGAGCCGTTACCCATGGCAACCAATCAGCTTCTCTCCAGTTTAGCTTTGAAAATGAAAGGTGGATGCTGATTGGTTGCCACGCACAGCGGATCCATGTTTTTGATAAATTCCCCCCAGCGTGCGGCCATAACAAGAAAAATAGAACCTGCCGAATAGGAAAGATAATAGAACAGATGAAAGTTGACATTCAGAAAAATACCAGTTCCCTGGTTGTCACCCCAACCTGACCAATGAAAACTGCTTAGCAAGTGCTTCTCATTGGTCAGGTGACTGCACTGACCAATGACTGCTCGACCTTTGTGAGCATTATTGCATATACAGAGTACCGGGCTGCAAGGATACGTACGGTGTACACGACATGCATCGTTCATTGGGGAAACAGAGGTTTCCTTTCCTCAGTGGCATGACTACTGAGGGAGGGGTTGGGGCACAACCAATGTATGGGGGTAATTTCAGTTTCACACATTTGCTAGAAACTGGGCATACCCTTTAGGCCCCCATTCGCACTTGTGAGCATCTTCAGGTGATTTTGAAGCTTTTTTTCCGTGTTTTTCATGTATTTTCAAGCTTTGGGTGTTTTCAGTTTTGGCCATCGGAATGCAGTATCATCTATGACATCATACGTCACCATCCTCCTTTTATCTGCTTCCTGTTTATTTCTGTGTGTCTTGTGCCATCAGATCGCCCAGTCAGGGAAAGCTTATTGCCCAATGTATCCTCTACGACATCATACACCACCATCCTCCTTTTATCTGCTTCCTGTTGTTATCTGTGTGGCGTCTTGCGCTATCAGATCGCCCAATCTGGAAAAGCTTAACGCCCAATGGGGGGGGGTTCATAAAAACTGGAGCAGAATCTGGAGTAGTTACCCATGGAAACCAGCTTCTCATTTTCAATGCTTAACTGAAATAACTGAAGAGGGAAGCTGATGAATTCCACCCTTTTCTTCCAGGGCCCTCTGCCGCTTCCTACGGTTC